GCCCAAGCGCAGTCGCTGCTTACTGCGCAGTTAGCAGAGCGCGTTCTAATACGTGTGTGTACATGTTGTGTGCCTAAAAGAAGTGCAGAGTGAGTAGAGTTTTAGATTGGAGAGTTCAGGGTATCTCTTAGTCGAACAGTCTCGACTAGTCTTCTTGTTTTATTTATTGTCGATTAAAAAAATTGATTTTAAATAATAAACAACGAACTGGTCAGGCGTCGTCGGCTAGAGATATCCTGAACCCAGCAACTATAGTCCAAAAATGTTAGGCATTATTATACGTTGTAAAACAATGCATGAACACACATATAAATGTGTCAAAAGAACATGGTATGCAATAAAAATATTTACATATTCGTTGGGTTCAAACGGATAGAAAGACATGAAGAATAAGATGATATACTTACATGTGGTCAAACTCTGTTGCGTTTGTATCGATCCCTAGATAATTTGATTCTGAACACAGCTCTTGGGCAGACACTAAAAAAAAAATTTGTGTTGGTGTCAAATTCAATCCGGGAAGCCTTGCCATTCCTTTGATTGGACCAGTGAGTGAGAGCATGGAATGGTATGAAATTTGCATTCCTCCAGAATGAATTAATATATCCATGCGACTGAAGTTTGAAAATATATTGACGGAATGCGGAACACAACGCATTGCCTTATCATCGAAGCTTTTCGTTATTGAACGTAAAATTTCCTTTGCGATTGAAACTCCAATTGAAGCATAATGTAGATATGGAGGCAATCGTGCATTGAAATATGGTATTAGTATGACCGACAAAGGAACAACTGTGAATGTTCAATTTTAAAATTATAGTTTATAAATTTGTACCGTCACAACATTTAATACGCACCAATTGAATGGCTTAATGTATCATAGAATATGGTCGACACAATAGGGTATGCCCATCTAAAATTTAAAAACAAAATCTAGCTTACTTGTGTTGTATTTATATATACTTCACACTTACGCATCATGGGAGCTAGAGTCTATATTTATTTTATTTGGTACAATTTTATTCGCTTTATATATCTCTAAAATATTTTCAAGCCAATTATCAGGCGTGATTTTTAGGCCTTCCACTGATTTTGTTAATTGGGTTACGTTCGTGAATCCTTCCCATGTCTTTGATTGAATTTTTAATGCTGAGAGCTTTACAAGTGCAGCGCCTTTTAGGGAAGGAGCCCGTTTTAGGTGAGCTTTGAGCGATTTGAAGATTATATCTGCCTAAAAACTCAAGAGCTTAGATATCACTATTATCTAATTGGGGATATATAAAAGTCTGTACCCGTCTTATAATGTCTTTTGAATCAATTGAAGAATATTGCGAAATATACAGTGCTGAGGCTAATTCTGGTAAAGCCCACATAGTAGAGCGTGTGCACACTTCTGGAGTTGGAAAATCTTTTGGTAAAATTTCCAGCACACTTAACAAGAGCATAGAGTTGTGTGCGATTCGAGATGGATATTTTGTAAGAAATGATTGCAACGCCTTTAGATAATCTGCATTTCTTACAACTATCGGCCCTCTCCAGTTCATTGGGATTAACAAGGTCCAGTTTAGCTGAAATATTGTCATCAAAAAATTAGTAAGCAAACAGATTATTCATTGCAACTACTTTAGTATGTTAATAAATTAATAATTACAACTTCACTAGGCAAATGGATAATAAATAAATATTGAAGTCTAAACTAAAATTTGCTGCCTCTATGGTACTTTATGAATGCATATTTGAATATGCATGTAGTCAGATAGCAAATAATGTCTTAGATGCGATATAAAATTATAAATTTAAATAATTAGAAAATTGGCTATAAAGTCAAAAAGATTACTTACAACTGGGTACATAGAATGTAAGCTAGAAATATTATACAGAACAGAGCTATCCCAAAATCCACGTCGTGATTGCTCAACTTGAAGCTAAAAACAAAAAATATATATAAAAAACACATATATTCAAAGATAAATATATATATGTAAATATATTTAAGTTAAGACCATCGACAATCTAAAGGAGCTTGAGAGTTCAGTCAGACATTCAAAGGGAGAACCCAACCAGTAGAACTGATTTGGGTCAGTTTATATTCGGACGAGAGAGTTTAGACCTATTGTTACCAAATTATATAAAATATACTGTTTCATTGAACACAAAGATATTTATATTCACAAGAACGCAACACAGCGTCCGCAATCACTACTACTACTCTAGTGTGGGAGCGCTTAACTGGCGCCTGACGTGTCAATAATTAAAAAACAAAACAAGTAAGAAAGTCCTAGTCGAGACTGCTCGACTACGAGATGCCCTGAACCCTACAAGCAACTGATATT